CCTCCTGCTCCTTCAAACATGTGGATCATTTTCTATACTTTATGTCTGTGTCTGAAAATTGTATTAATTAATACAGAAGTTAATCAGGTATGAACAAGCAGGGCGTCCACAGTAAATGAACATCTGTCTTAAACAGGCACTGGTTTGGACCTTGAAGAGTTCTCAGCTAACAACAAAGAACCGATGCTGCGTCAGGAGACCGGCTGCATGTTTTCAGCGTGAACAGCTGTGATACTGTAGATGTCACAGTCAGACACGCTGTTTGGATTGTAGAGCTGAGCTGACAGCCCATAATGAGCACAAAAAAAAACAACTCTGGTTTTCCCTTGTTTGGTTCCTAACTAAAACTAATTATATTTGTGCTGCTGTGATGCAGCCACAGCCTCCGAAACAAACCAGTGTTGGATACAGACAAAGGTCAAGTGTGACTGCACAGCACAGAAATGAGTCACGCCTGGTCACTTCCACTGCGGAGGCAGCAGAACAAAGATTGTCATGATTGTGAAGATGGAGGAAAAATAATAGAGAGAGAGAGAGGGGGATTTCTGCCTCCATGTCCTGATTACAAATACAGGAACTACACATGGGCACACAGTGGAGGAGCGGTTAGTGATCTTGCTTTACAAGAAGACCGTCCCTGGTTTGAGCCCCAGCAGGAACTGCTTGTCTGTGCATGGGTTTTTTGTCAGATACTTCATTCCACAACCTTGTGTTTTGTTTCAGGTTTTGTTTTTTTTTTTCTTTTTCTGTGACATTTTTGAATCTTTTATCGCCATGGCAACCATCCATTACCACGTATTTGAAACCGATGGCAGTAGGGTCTACCGTTGGTCAATGACATCCATGTTGTTCTTTTCATCAGAGGAAAGAAAGGGCCTCTGTGGTCAAGAAGAACAACGCCTACGCCGTAGCAGTGGCCAACTACGCGCCCAACATCACCAAGGACTCTGGCACACTTCCCACCATCGCCAAGGGGGGCGCTGCAGACCCCAACAAAGCCAAAACAGATGGCAAAGCACAAGACGCCAAGAAGACGTTCAACAGCGTGAGCAAAATTGACAGGATGTCAAGGATTTTGTTTCCTGTTCTTTTTGGCAGCTTTAACCTGGTTTACTGGGCCACGTACCTGAACAGAGAACCGGTCATAAAGGACATGGTTCCCTCCAACTGAAGTCTCCCCTGCTGTGGGGACTGGGAGAGTGAAACAAATACCTCTAGTAACTGTGTACAAAAAAAAAAAACCTTTTCAGAGTCAAGTCCTGGATTGCTGTGTGATCCTCTAACTCCTCCTGTTTTCTACACCGTCTGCAGCACTTTTGAGACGCCGGGATTTTTGTAAATGTGTACGTATATTTATATTACATGGTTTCATGGTGACACGTCGTGTGAATTTTTTCGATACAGTGCTTATTTCCTAAGAATTGTGTTTCCAGTTATCAGTAACTGTGTGGCCACTGTGGATCAACATGAGAAGAAAAGAATAACGACGTGAACACACACACAAACACATTTATTTGAGACTACTTCTTTTTTGGCTGCTCACTGCCAACTGTCTACTACTACTGTGTGTACTGTGTGTTTTCTTAAGAGTGAAAGAGACTTTCTATCTTATATTTATTCACGTCTTTGCCAACTAAGAGTGGCTTTTTTTTTTTTTTGTCCAAGCCGATGCAAAAACACATTGTATTATATTGTTAGAGTGTTGACGTTGTTTTTATTATTTATGACTACGGATATGGGCCTGGAATCGAACACTGACCTCCAGAAGTACTGAGCTTCAGTAAACCAATGGCTGTAAACACATTAACAGACAGCCATTAAGAAAATTAATAAGGAATAAATCAGTTCTATGTAAGGGGGGTAAAAAATATGATCGGAATATAAAACCATTCATGTTCAGAATGTGTTTTTATATTTCATTATTTGTACTTTTTGGGACATCTTATTTGTAGATGCTCTATGGGACTTTAGTAAGATAATTCTTTTGCCTTGTCTCAAAAAACAAAACAAAAAAACAAGCATCACATTTAATTTAAAAAATTTGGGAAAGTCTGGGCTAGATGCTCTTCCTGACACTAGATAACTCATTGGAATTCAGAAGGTGGATTATTATTAGGAATATCCGATAATATCTGGTAAACCCTCATTATTGGCCGCTTTTAATTACTTTATATCAGTAAGAATTGTTATCGTTTTTTCCTCCGTTAATAAAACCTGATTACACAGTTTTCTTCAACCGGTATCAGTTGATATCGGAATCGGAGTGTTTGGACAATATTGGCAAAATGATAATGTCAGACATAACTAATTATTTGTATTTTTTTAATATTAATAATAACATTTTGCAAAATAGTTGAGTTTTTCAGTGAAACACCTTCCTATTGGACGCCATTGTCACGCCTGTGGAGGTCAGTGTTGATTTGATGTAGAGGTGCATTTATAGAGTGCAGCAGAAATCTTTGTCGTCTTTGTGTAACTGACTTTGTTTTGCGTCCACAGTCGGTGTCCGTCTGCCATGTTAAAATGTGTGAACTGCTGTGAAAAACAAAAACCCCACCTGACCGCCCCTGTCCTCTGACATGGAACGTCATCACTGTACCACGTAGACCTACAGTACACTGTCATTACATGAAGCTGTGCTGCCGTGAACACTGCAACGTCGGGCTAACTCCAAAGCCATACCGTCTTATCAGCAACAATCAGCTGCCGAGTGCGTGTGGGTTTGTGCGGCTACTCTCACCATCCAGACCTAAATTGCCTGTAGATGTGAATCTTGGCGTGAATGGTTGTTTGTCTCCGCGTGTCGGCCTTCTGATTGGCCTGTGACCTATCCAGGATGCACTCTATATCCTCCCGTCTCATGTCAGCGGGAATTGGTTCCAGCCTTTGCCGTGACCCTCAACACACACTGTTAACGCTGTAGATAATAGAGAGATGGAATGAATAAATCCCGTGTGACTCTGCTTCATGAACAGTCGCTCTGTGATATTCGGTTCTGTCTGTCCTTGTGATAAACAAATAATTTTCAGCCCCATATCAGTAGACATAAGATTTTTTTGTTTCCAAAATTGAATTTTTTTTTCTGCTGCACATCTGTGTTTTAACTTAATTCAACTTTCATCGTTATATCAAACTTTGCATGAGGATTGAAAAGAAAAATCTTGTTTTCTTTATTCATTCATGTGTCACAGGAATTGTGTCGTTGCATACAAAACACTAATTTTTACTTCAGTCCTATATCCAGCGTCCTGATATAATATCAAACATTCCGGTTACAACGATTGTTCACGAGGTGGATGCTTGATTCAGTGCACAGTTTCTAATAAAACCACATTATTGCCATTGTAACCTTTGTTGGTTCATTTATTGAAGCCAAAAACAGAATTGTTTAGATCTGACCGTGTTTTAAGAAGAATGAAATGTGTCAGTTTTGTGCAGTAAATGGACACTTTTTTGAAAATACTCTAACAGGTTTCATATAAGCAGTGGCTTGAAGGGTGATGAATGGAATTGAATTGTCAATAATGGCCAAAACAGGGATCATGTTCTCTACATGTACGGTATTATTTCCATGTCATTATTGCTCGGAGAACTGCTCCGGCTCCATCTCCTTCTGTAGGTGTTTCCTGTAATATAACACGTCATTTACAGCGGCTCGGGCTGATAATAAGACCGTGAAGGATGCAGCCTTCTTCTCAGCAGGAGAGGATGCCGTCAGCGTCGAATGCTGCTCAAGACAAGAAAAGAGTGTCGTCGAGACCCACAAATAGCCCCGTGGCACCGGGCTGTGATGCAAAGCTCAAGGAGGTTTAATTTTCCTGGTCTTTCCATTACTCAAGCTCTGCACAGACCCCCTCATGTAAGGTCGAATTTTCTCTGCGGGGGCTGTTTGCTCAGGCCACATTATTATATTATTATATATTATATTATATAGAATGTTAATGCCCAGACAGGGCACAGAACTTCTGACTCCTACGAGGTTGTCAATGTAATATATTTACAGCCATACATTTACATGCTTCATTAGTTAAGTCAATTCATTATCAAATGGTATGAGTAAACATGGAAATGAGGGTAAACATGGAGATTTCTGGTGTTATAAAATATTTTTTAAAATGTTGCTGAAATGTAAAAAGTAAAAAAAAAACAATATATTTTGTTTTGTTATTTTGTTGTTGCTGACAATAATTCTCTGGCCTAAAGGCTTTTACTCTTCGTTGCAACTCAGGATCACGCGCGTCCACGTAAAGACCTTTATTTGTTGTTCACAAAGAAAAGGAGCAGAAACCTCTCCTTGTGTAAGAGGCAGTCGCGCTGTCATAGCAACTGGAATCCAAATTTACCCTTCATCCGTGGGGGAGGCGGGACATCCGGAAGCTTATCGAAATGATCGTTTCCTGTAGGTACGATGATGTCACTTCCGCTGCTGCTGCGGTGTGGTTAGCTTTAGCTTGACGCAGGTGTGCAAATATCCGATGTCGGTAAGCGCTGATGTACTAAAAATACATTTTGTTTTGTGATTAAAACCACCTCGCGTGCATCACTCCATATGCCTGTAATAAAACTGTGGTCAAACAATTTTCAGTTCCGCTCTTGTTTTCATTCTTCCGATTACTCCCGGATATCACCCTGATCCCTACACTATACCTTCTCAAAGAGGAAAAGGAGATACTGTACTTTTATATAAAATGAGAATTCGTTTGTCATATAGATAAGATGTTATACTTATGGAAGTACATTCACGAACACATTTGTACAAACATACGTTTCTTTTATTATTACTAAAACTGCAACTCATTTTTACAGTGACACGACATTTCCCATAATTCTTTGCTAGTGACCTGTGACTCAAAATGGCAGCGCCCGTGAAGCTCATGTACAGAGAATATCGTTCTAGTCTATTTTGATCGTTTTTATTGTTATATTGTTATTTATTTTTGTGGACACCGAGTCCGGGGGGTAACAGTGAACATGAAGTAAAAAAAACAACCTCGTAGTCACTGATATAACAATGTTTAGTGCTCCGAGGACTGTGTTTTGTACATAGACCGCTCACTTAGGCTGCCATTTATTCATACTACTGTTCAAAAAGAGGACATGTCGTCGTTATCTGTGTTCTCTCCGCTGTTGAGAGGAGTCTTTCAGATAAAAAGCTACCCGAAACCCCACCGCTGCTGCAGCGGGTTGAGTTACACAGTACTGAGACACTTTTGGAGAAGTGGACTCTGTGTTTCCTCCAGCGGCCGCAGGTCGATGAGCTCACAGACAGACAAGGTAAGATGGTATGGAGTAGATACACTACTAGCTACACTACAGTAAAACACGGAGATGGGACATTGTTTGGATTTGCTATGCAGGTGGTAGCAATTTGTATACAGTTCCATCTGGACAAAGACCTGTTGTTGTTTGTTACTGAGCAAGAATGCAGTTCCTGGCCTGTACAGAATTTGTCCAATTAATATATTGTATTTTCCAAGTAAAAGTAAAGTTCTCTTGCAGTTCTATTGTCGCAGAGTATACCAGTGAAATTATCATCCTTAATGTGTAAACTTCATGGTTATTTCCAAACTTGTTGGCTGTATACAGTATTTACTGACGAATAAGACGAACAGTCATTGGTGTCGTTTGTTGTGAACTAACTTCTCCATTTTTTTAAAAAGGAGCACATTGACCTGTCCAAGTTCTGTGTGGACAGAATCAGGAACTTCTGCATCATTGCCCACATCGACCATGGAAAAAGCACTTTGGCGGATAGGTTGTTGGAAATGACTGGTACGAGCTGACAGTAACTTTAGAACGGAGCCTTATTATTAATATTATATTTATATAATCGTCACTCCACACACACATACATTTACAGCCAGGTGTGTTTTTCCCTTAGGTGCAATAGCCAAGACTGAGAAGAACAAACAGGTGCTGGACAAGCTTCAGGTGGAGAGAGAGCGAGGGATCACGGTCAAGGCCCAGACGGCCTCACTGTTTTACAACTACGAGGGTCAGGAGTATCTTTTGAACCTCATCGACACACCGGTGGGTGACAGCAGTGATGGGAGGGTAAAAAAAGAAAAAGTTAAAAACTGGCATCCTGGGGCTGCTCTGAAAATATTTGCTATATACAATACTGCAATTATTGTAGTATTAATGTTGCACAAATATCTCTCTCGTCAGGGTCACGTGGACTTCAGTTACGAAGTGTCCAGATCTATTTCTGCGTGTCAGGGCGTCCTTCTGATCGTTGATGCCAATCAGGTACAAACATCAAAGTTCTGGTTGTGCTGTGTCACTGTAGCTGCTAACCTGCAGCATGAGTTGTCCTCCTGACTGTATCACTCTGATCTGAAGGGAATTCAAGCACAGACGGTGGCTAACTTCTACCTAGCCTTCGAAGCTCAGCTGACCATTATCCCTGTCATCAACAAGGTATGCATACAATACACACACACACACTGCTGTTTTAAGTCTCTGTGTTTCTTTATGTGGGTTTATTCCCATTCTAACATGTTCTCCCTCAGATTGACTTGAAAAATGCTGATCCAGAGTCAGTGGAGGCACAGATTGAAAACCTGTTTGATATTCCACGTGAAGAATGCATCAGAGTGAGTTGAAGAATATTCCAATATGAGTTGTTTTTATTTTTTAAGATTGTCTCTTTAGTCTTATTTGTTCATGAACATTTTTTTATAGATATCAGCCAAACATGGAACAAATGTTGAATCGGTTCTGCAGGCAGTTGTGAACAGGATTCCACCGTAAGTGTTTTGTTTGTAACATGTAAACTGAAATATGTTTAATTTTAGGAAGAAATTCTGATGTTTTTTTTTCTTGTTTTTTTTCTATATCTGTAGGCCCAATGCAAACATCGATGACCCGTTCCAAGCCCTGGTGTTTGACTCTAATTTCGACCACTACAGAGGCGTGGTGGCCAACATCGCTGTGTTTGGAGGTCGGGTCAAGAAAGGAGATAAGATTGTGTCGGCACATCTGAGTAAAACCTACGAGGTCAATGAGCTGGGGCTCCTGCGACCAGAAGAGTTCCCAACACAGAAGCTGTACGTGTTTCCCTTTTTTATCCAAAGAATTTCATGATGGATTTATTTTGAAAAAAATACGGTTCTGATGGTTGACTGATTATTTGTCAGCTTTTACATAGTTAGTGAACATAGAGAGTATTCAGCAGGCTGAATATTATTAAAAACATTTTTTATCAATTTAATTTCACTATGTACAAAAGGAAATTAAAAAAACATTTGTGACATTTTTTGAGATTTAGAAGAAAAAGGACAGAAAACTTGTACCTGCCGACTGTTACGAAGGAATTTTGTGAAAGTTGAAGACGGCACACGATGGGTTCTGAATTCTTCAAACAATTATTAAGTGGAATTTCTATATATATTGTGTTGTTTTCCATTGTGTAGGTTTGCAGGCCAGGTGGGCTACATAATTGCAGGGATGAAGGACGTAAAGGAGGCACAGATTGGTGATACGCTTCACCTCCAGGAGCGGCCAGTAGAGGCGCTGCCAGGCTTCAAACCTGCTAAACCGATGGTCTTTGCTGGTGAGGAGCCACTCTGGATTTCACACACATTTATTTATTTACAAATACAAACAGGTATCCTGTCGACTTCAGTAGTAGAGTGTACTCTGTGTTCTTCATCCCAGGGATGTATCCCATGGACCAGTCTGAATACCAAGGTCTACGCAGTGCTATTGACAGGCTGACCCTGAATGACTCCAGTGTCACGGCACAGAAGGACAGCAGCTTGGCCCTGGGAGCAGGATGGAGGTGAGGACGCCTGTTGTAAGTCGCTTTGGATAAATGATTGTATTCTATTAGTTAACGTTACTGCGACCAAACGTGAAGAAATATTTGTGATGTGAAGATGTTGGACCATTCTTCTCCATCCCTCTCGTGTTTCCGTGTTTAATTTGAAATATACCCACCTTTAATGAAAATCCTGACTCTAGGGGGAGCCTGTGGCTGTATTTATGGGATCATAAATCCAGCTGCACTCTTGGACTATTTCCACAGAGGCTCTTTGTAATTAAAAAGCATGAATATCAATTAAGTAAAAGTGAAGTGGACCTGTGTACTGCTTGCAGACTTGGCTTCCTGGGTCTCCTACATATGGAGGTGTTCAATCAGAGGCTGGAGCAGGAATACAATGCTTCCGTTATAGTCACGGCGCCCACTGTGCCCTACAAGGCTGTCCTCTCTTCACCCAAACTCATCAAAGTAAGAGCCACGTCCTGCTCATATATTTTCTTCTCTCACGTTTGTGCCTGGCTTTGGTCATGACTGCAGTGAAACGTTTGTCCTGACTTTAATATATTGACTGGTAAAAGAAGGCGCTGCAGGATCACTGGTTTAAGTGTGTGTGTGTGGGGGGGGGCTTAATTTTATTTAGCATACTCTCTGGTGGAGGGTGTAGGGGGTGTGGGGAGAGGCTTAATTTTATTTAGCATACTCTCTGATGTCAGCTTGGATTAGAGTGTGGTTTTTGGAATTTTCTTCTTACTAAAACATTTAAAGTGTACTTATTGCTGTGACCACAGGCACCAGAGCTAATGTTAAAAGATGTTAATTTTTTTACTGTAACCTTTACTTGGTATCTGTAAGTCCCATTTCCCTACTACAGTATTTTCTTCATCTTGGTTCTTGTTTCAGGAACATGGCAGTGAGGAGATCACCATCGTGAACCCAGCTCAGTTTCCAGACAGATGTTCAGTGTCGAAGTATTTGGAGCCTATGGTCCTTGGCACTGTTCTAGCCCCAGACACGTACACAGGCCAGATCATGACTCTTTGCCTGGTAAGGTGAAAATAATAACAAAATGTAAATATATATCATTCAACACATGCTACCAGCATCATGGCTTTGTGTAAGTTTAATTCATTAAACGTGGCTTTGAAGTGGTTTAAATTTGCAGACAAATGTGGGGGAAACAAAACGTATTACTTGCCTGCAGTTCCCCCACCGACCCACTAGAGGTCATTGGGCTTCTGTTAAAGACCACAGATTTAGAGTTTTGCTTTAAAATTTAAAATGCTCGACATCCTAAAACAGGTATGCATCAATGGTTTGATTATTTGTACTGTATAAACCAATTTTTTTTTCTTTTTTTTGAAGAACCGCAGAGGCGTCCAGAAAAACATGGTGTACATAGACGACCAGCGCGTCATGATGAAGTATCTCTTCCCATTAAATGAAGTTGTTGTCGACTTCTACGATCATCTTAAATCCTTGTCGTCTGGATATGCAAGGTAAAACTCGTCAACAACTGTTTTTATGAACCTGGGCCAGTCGTTACAATAAATAATTATGTTTATATTTAACCAAAAAAACCAAAGGTCAATATAAACACCAAAATACAGATTACATTGTGAAACTATGAGGTGTGATAGTTTTTTTCTCCTGTTAGCCGAGCCGTTAAAATAATAACATTTATATTTCCATCATGAAGAGTTTACATAAGGACAAGGTTGTTTGACCCTGAAAAACATCCACCAACATGAGTCATCCTTCTGAACCTACAGAGTAACAGAGGCATTTATTTTTTGTCTGGTCACATCAGAGATGGTTTCCTTGGCAGAGAGCACTAACATTACCAGTTATAGTGACTTAAAACTCCACACAAGGACTTCATTCCATTAGTGAGAAGGACAAAGGAGTCATTTCTCAAAAAGTGATGATGCACAGCAGAGCTGTAGTTAATGTACTGGCTGCTGAAGCCTGCACGGGATCCAGAGCCAGCTGGGGTAATTGAAGGGCGAAACGCTTCACCAGCCGTAGTTACTCTCTGACCATTTACTCTGTGAACCCTACAGCGGAGCTGAGCTCTGCGTCACTGCTCACTGAGCAGAACCTATTTATTGGGTTCTTGTTAGAAGCTCTGAAACGTTCCACATGTCACTGAAGCGCAGGAAGGAACCGAGGTGATCAGCTGTCAATCACAGACGCCATCGGTCTGTTAGATAGTTGTCATGAAATGTATAAAAAGGTATATGTTGACATATGTTTACATATATGCATATATATGTATATATACAGTATGTACAGTATATTTTGCGTGTACATATATAAATATAAATAAATAGATATGTATTTATATATTTTACATACATACATATACAGTATGTATACACTGTATATTTGTAAAAATATACACACCTACATTTATATAAATACATATATGCACAAATGTATATGTATAAATATATTTACAGTTCTTAAAGGCAAATGTCTCACTGTTTTGACTCCACGTTAACATGTAAAACGATGACACACTGTATTGTGATGCCATCATCAAATCAAATGTCATTCATCTCATGTGTTCTTCTGTTCCAGAGAGCGTGCGTACACCGCAGGAAAGGCCATGTGCGAGAGACTGAAAGACTCCATTCCAAGGCAGTTGTTTGAGATCGCCGTGCAAGCCGCGATTGGAAGTAAAGTCATCGCCAGAGAGACGTATGTCAAACGGCTGCTTCGTTCAGAGCAAGAAAGGAAAATAAAAAGCAGACTTCATTTGTCTTCAGAAAATTAAAATGTTGTTAATGTGTCTTTCAGCATAAAGGCATACAGGAAAAATGTGCTAGCTAAATGTGTAAGTAGCTGAAATTGGAGTTTGGAAAATTTTCGAGCATGTTTTCATGTACTGTGGATAAATGTGACGTTGTGTTTTCTCTGCAGTACGGCGGGGATATCACTCGCAAGATGAAGCTGCTGAAGAAACAGGCAGAGGGCAAAAAGAAGATGAGGCGAATTGGCAACGTGGATGTCCCTAAAGACGCCTTTATCAACGTCTTAAAGAGAAAAGACAAATAGACTCGTACGTTGAAGGTGTCCAAAACCTGGGAAAGGAAATTAGCCTCAGCCTGATCCAATAATAAAGTTTAAAAATATTCAGTCACTTCAACTGGACGTTACTTCACTCCTGCTGTTCAGACCACACTCAAGTATTCTGAGGACAACTCGGAGAAAAAAGGAATGCATACTAACAGTAAAGCAGGGGTCCCCAACCCCAGGTCTGCGGACCGGTACCGGTCCATTGACTTTCCTCATTACAAAATAAATAATAAATATTTAAAATATAATGTCTTCCAGACTCCAGTAGTAACAGAATAAACTCTATAAGATGTTTTATTTTGAAAATTTGAAAGTATGCCATCGGTCAGATGAAAGAAAGGAGTACTCTACAGCCACAAATATGTTGCTTTTCAAGGAAAAGGACTACTATGAGTTTCTGTCAGTGACTGTTTATTATTTACAACAGTTTACAATGATGACTGTTGGGAATATAACTATTTAAAATGAAACAAATGTTGCATCCTTTCCTATCTTTTTGATATTCAATAAAATGAAAGGATTTTGTTGGGAATTAAAAAAAATGTCCAGGGATATACAGTTGAACGTCCCTGAGTCTGTTAGGATTATTGAACTATAAAACATTTCTTGTGTAAATAAATAATAATAATAAATGACTATACCATTATTGGCATAAAAACTCAAACATTTTAACATTGTTTCACATTGTTTCACTGCTCCCTCTTTAGTGGCCTCTGCACCTTTTCGGAGTTCTAACAGTAGGTGGCAGCAGCAGCTCAGACATGCAGCAGTTAAATCCGTCAGGAGACAAATATCAACATCTAAAGTATGTATACTTATGGGCAATGGTGGCTTGGTGGTTAAGGAAGCGGTCCGGAAGGTTTCAGGTTCGAGTCCACCAGTTGAGGTGGTCTGAGCCGCCTTCCGGGCGCCTAAGCTGCTCACTTTGGTGATGGGTTAAAAGCAGAGGTGACATTTCGTTGTGTGTGTCGCGGTGTGCTGTGTCACAATGATAAATAATTCACTTTCACGTTCACTACACAATAAGACTGTACTTACACAGAGAAACTCAGTAAGGAAAGTACGGATTTTTTTTGCATACGGGATTTGATAATAATATTCAAGTCATGACAACTCAAGTCATTTATATTTAACTTATAATAATATTCTGACAACTCAAGTCATTTATATTTAACTTTTGGTATTACTATTACGTGTTTAAACAAATACAATTACGGTAACGACGGTGGTTGACGTAGCGCGTACGTACCTTGTTTGGTCCTCCGTTGTACCCGTAATTGTCTGCTATCTATGCGGAAGTAGCTATGAATGGTTGCTGTGCTAGTGTTTTCTTTTTAATTCCGTCCCAGAATATCTAAATTAAAGTTAAATAAATATTAATACTTTTCAAAAAAAGGGAGAGTTATTTCCTGGGATTTTGGACGACATGTGTGTCTATCCTTTACCCTCACTGCGTGGGAACTGTTAGCTACCGATCATCATACCTGACCTATACGTGGCTCAGAAGTTTCCATCGGCAGCCGGCAGAATGAAGGTCCGCTCGTCTGTCTTCGCCTCGTTTATTTTGATATTTGAAGTGATTGGCGTTGCCCTCTTCCTCCGGGGATTCTTTCCTGTGCCTGTCAAGTCTTCAGTTTCCTCCAAGAGCAAGCTGTCAGATCTGCCACCAGAGCCGGTGACAGGTGGGTGTTTGTCAGCCTGACCTCCCAGCCTGTCTGTGTGTGTGTCAACTTCAGTATCTTCTTCCTGGGTTGATGGTGAGTTTTCTCCTTCACAGGTCGTTCCCCCAACTCCACACGTGTGCCCCATCCCCTGTTTGAAAAGGTGGTCATAATGCTGGTGGACGCCCTGAGAGAAGACTTTGTCTTTGGACCCAACGGCCGCCTGTACATGCCTTACACCAGACATGTGGTGGAAAGAAGCTCCTCACACAGTTTTGTGGCCAAAGCCAGACCTCCGACTGTCACCATGCCCAGGATCAAGGTGAGAGGATGACACTCAGGTGTGGGTGTGTGGAGGTGTGGAGCACAGCTGACAAAAACTAGGATTGTTGACATGATTCACAACTTTCAAATCAAGAAACTGCGGTCACTTTTATCTTTAGGATGTGACTCAGTTAAGTCTTCTTGTGTGTAACTAATATCATTTTGTTGTTGTTTTTTAAATATAGAAATGTATTCCATAGCAAAAACCAAACCAATCTTTTCAGTAAGGAGAGTTTTGACAAATATTATAGAGACCGGTTCAGCCTGAAGTTTTCTACATTAGTAAAATATAAAAAAAGATATTTGCAGCAGTTTAGAATAGTTGACCTAAAATGGTGTGTTTTCTCCTTCAGTTTTAGAAGAGTGCACTCAAAAATAAGCATTTACTGTTTAAATCTAGTGTCCTACCTTCCTGTCATCAGCAGTTCTGGTGGTGCATGGTAAAATATTTTTTATTATTATTATTTTTAATACAGGCCTCTTACAGTATCAGCGAAACCTGTCTAAACAGTGACTCTCAGAATATTTCATCTCATCATTTTTTTTGCGACAGTTTGCTAAGTTGTTGTTGTTGTTTCTGAATATGTGACCGTGTAGTGGACTTTCCAAATATAAGCTGCTCTTGGCTTCGACAATCCTCACTGGGATGAAGTAGTGGTCGATGAATGGATAAATAAGGAGCCGGTGGTTCTACTCTACCTGAAGTAGCTGGCAGTCGGTGCTGAGGCTCCCTGGTTCATGTCAGGAAGGTTTAAAAATAATGAAAATAAAGCAATGACATAGGAGCACATAGTACACAGTAATTACACTACACCTGGACAGTGGGCACTGTGGCTCAGTGGAGTTTCAGGAGCGTCTCAAAGACAGTTTTATTCTGGAGAAAGGAGAGCAGCTCGTTCTTGTCCATTAGGACTGTGGCCAGAGTTGGGCCAGTTAGAATGAATTAAAGTGAAGCCGTCATGTGAAACAGCATGAACTGTTTCGGTGTCAAAATGTAGGGCGAACCTTCAGCAGTCGGCCGTGGTGAAGAGATAGGGAGGAAGAGGAAGATTGGAGCTAAAATTCACTCAAGGAAAACTCTACTGCTAGTGTGGACAGACAGGCTCGACGGGAGACGTAAGAGTGCACGCTCAGCAATCCCTCAGGTCAGCAATATGTGGAGGAAAAGGCATGTGCTGCTTGACAGTGAGAAAGAGAGGGCAACGGGTGAGTGAGTGAGGGAGGTGAGGAAGAGCAGCCGTGTGTGGGATTTTCGGTGAGTGAGTGAGGGAGGAGAGGAAGAGCAGCCGTGTGTGGGATTTTAGAGCAGTGTTTTAATTGGTGGTCTAAGTTCGGGGTGGCTTTGGATGGAGACAAATCTATTTAAAAAAACAACAACAATAGGATGAATATTTTGTTAACATTCAGAGAGGTGACTATGTTTCATATAGTGACACGTAAAATTGTAGTTAAACTATACTATACTACTATAATACTACTTAAGAATATAGATTATTTTATAGTATAATATAGTATAGAAATCATGACATATATAATTTGTTTATTACTGGACTTAGTAATTGTAAAAAAGTAAAAGTTGATCAAATAAAAAAAAGAAAGAAATCTCTTCCAAAGTTCAGTTATTCTGACCGAGTTTTTAAAAAAAATTCAAATTGTCAAACGTACTAAATCGATGGAGAAACACTTCCAACTTCTGTGTCTGTGGGTGGATGCAGCTCCTGGAGCTGGTGATGGAGAAAGAGGGAACCAGGTCAGTGGGAGCTCCGTGGACTGACGCTGGTCGGGGGGGCGGAGGGGGGACTTATCTGCATTCAGGCAGACGTGTAGGAAGACAGATGCTGCTCCGTAATCCTCCCAGTACTGTTTAAGAGGATAAAGCCACGATGTAGCGTGATGGTTCTCAAACTGCGGTGCGTGTCACACTGGCGGTACACTGGTCCATCTTGAAGTATGTTGGGCAGATTTGATTCCCATTGTTAGCGTGGTTGAATACAGTTGTTGTGTTTATAGTAATGTGTTTAAAATTTAGTTTGGGTCAGATTAGATTTAGATTAAGGATTAGAATATGCTTCAGGGAATACAGTATATCTGTGTGAAAAACACATACACAAACAGCGAGTTTGTGTTGTTTTTGAATTAGGTTGAAGTACAAGATGAAGTGCTGCTACTGCTGATAAACAGCCCAGTGGTCCTATTAAAAATACATTTTCTTCTTCATATACTGCTCTCAGTTGAACAGCGTGTATTTGAATGCTGGTCGTACTGGTAGTACTTGGAGAGCCCGATATATTTTGAATGGTGACACGTGGTGTGATAGATCTGAGAACCACTGATGTAGAAACCATCACCTCTTTGAAATACAACCCCACTGTAAGTGTAAGACCTTGTAATGGGTAAAAAAAAGGAGAATTTACAAGACAGAAAATACTGGACATGGAAGCTGGAGCATGAAGGACTCGTACTGCACCAGATACTTGCACACATACTGTACGGTACGACACGGTGCTCGTCCACAGGAGGGTAGAAATATTGAAACTGTCGCTTCCTTAGCTGTGTGTAAACTTCACAGTGTGATTTGCTGGTCTGCTGAGATTTTACAAGTACATCTGTGAGAGCGGCAGAAGGGGACATTTAATCAGGTTTCAGCAGAATAAGTGGTCACAGTACATTTGAGACACAACACCTTAATGTGATGCTGCTACTCCTTCCATAAATCTCCCTTATCTGTTGACAAGCCTGCCTGAAATAAAATACTATCTTGATTGATTCTGGAGTTGAGACTTATTACATTAAGCTCCTAATATAAAGTAGAAAAACACAGCCCACCCTCCTGATCCCACCCCCCCGTCACACTGCAGCTGATGCATCACAAAAACAAAGCTATAATCAATGCACAAAATGCTACTGTGTATCAATAGTCCCGACGTCGCCTGTCAAACTGCAAATGGTATCCAAAGCGCCTGTTACCTTAAGAGCCCTATAAAGTGTAATCTGAGCAGCAGCAGCAGCGTCATCAATCAGCATGTTTAGTTTTGGCAGTGCACCACTAGGTGGCGGTGCAAAACAACCACCATTCGCAGCCTAACTCGCGCTGCATTGCACCCAATTAGCTGTCATGACACACCGACCGTCCTGTATCATTATCTCACAGCGGCATGGCCATTACACACATTATCTCCAACTTTTACTCAGCGTCTAATAAAGTTACTACAGTATCACACACACACACACACACACACACACACACACTGGGTACAGATGAGTTAGATACACAGTTCAGCTGGAGAGAGAACACACCCTGGTCTCTGAATGTTTTTTTACAGTTTTTCTTTTTTTGTATTCCAGACTATGATGCAAACAGTGTAAACACCCACACCAGCCCAAAGTCTACAAAAAAATGTATGATTTCATTTCAGTTCTGACCCTGACGGAGGGAGAGAGAGAGAGAGACAAGTACTGAGTTCCCTCTTTGGTTCTGTCATCACATGTGGCCCAGTCTCACAGTGCTGCTCAGACAGTACTGTGGTGCTGGACAATGAATTCACTTAATCATAACCAGCCGCAATCCCCATCGGTACCAGGGAACTGTTGGTGCGTGAAAGGCTGGTCTGCCGTCCGTGGTTCTGTACGGTTCCAGTTTGTTAGCGTAGCTGCAGCGTCAGAGCGGTTTATTACATTTGTCATGTTGTTATGTAACATTACGTCTCACGTTAAACGCTGTTGGAGAAGAATGAGGAGGTTCACGTCTGTTAAATAATTCACGTCAGACTTGAAGTTGCAGAGAGAGGAGGTTCGGCGTTCCTCAGTACAACAACGTTTTGCCCCAGTGTTACATCACATCCTCCAGTGCAGGACGCAGGCCAGTAATTGGACTAATTGATCTATTGTTGGGTTTTGAGATGATGACTTGTCGTTGGATCGGATTTCTAAAGAACGAGAGAGAAAAGAAAGAAGTAAACAAAACAAAACAAAACAAATGCATTCATTCTGATCTTCATGCTTTTACGTTTTTTAATTTCTTTAATTAATCAACCTGTCATTGACAGCAGACAGACTTCTTTTAAAGGGGAACAGTCTGTTTTTTTCATGAGGCATCTTCACTGGCAGAGATGAAGATGAGCTGATAAACTGATCACTGGCAGGAGATAGAGGAAGTCGGAGAAACATTCTCAGAGATGAAGATGAGCTGATAAACTGATTAATCACGATTGATCATGATTAGTTGTGATTATTGAAAAATGAAATAAAACAATTCTGTAATCAACCAGCTCATGACCTCCTGGGGCGCGGGGGTGCCGACCCCTCTTGTTGCACACATCCGTACTAATGTGTAAACATTATGCTGCAGACAGTAGAGACACCGTGTGAAATGATAATCCGCTGTTTTATAAGGACAAGTCCATCAGGGTGTACTTGAAAAATTGCTTCTTTGGAGAAGAGATGACATTGTATTTGCCGACGGAGCTTCATCAGCAGATTCCTGGTCTCTCTGAAATACTGGGTGGTCATCTCGGATATGAGCTCAGATTTCTAAGCATCCTGGATGGTGCGAGGCTGTGCCCACGGATGCTCACGGGGGGAGGTATGGGGGGGTTAAATAACAGTATTTCCTGCCAGCATCTGCAGTACCATGTCTCCTTCAGTGTAAGAAGACCTGGCCGCTGTACTTTCCCTGGACGATGAGCTGAAAACTCGCCTGACTTTCAAAACGTGCCGCACTTTGTTGTCAGTCACACCGATGTCAGCGTGTTCCACTGCACCCTCCGTAATTTAATCTGTGGAAATTATGCCTTGTAAATGTCCATATTCCCGAGTCAGCTGTATACGTTTTTGTCGTGTCAGCAGAATTGATTCGGGAACGTGTGACTCAAGTCAAGTGTCCAATTTTAGATCCAACACGACGAGATTTCCAGAGACAAGAAACATTGAACATGATACATTTTTTGTGTGTGTTGTTAATTAGTCTAGTTTGAGGCTCACCAATTGATGATATTTACAGTACGTCCTGGCTTCGACCTTATTAGCTGCAGTTATACGAGCAAACTTAAACGCGGCACTGGTCTGGAAGAGAAAAAATAAAGTTTACAGGATAATGAGAAAACACATTTCTCCTCAGGCTCTCACCACTGGCAGCATTCCAGGATTCATTGATGTGGTAATGAACCTAAATTCCCCTGCACTGCTGGAAGACAACCTCATTTGGCAGGCCAGAGCAGCGGGGAAGAGGATCATTTTCTACGGAGACGACACCTGGATTCGCCTCTTCCCCAAACACTTTGTGGAGTTCGACGGCACGACCTCCTTCTTTGTGTCCGACTACACTGAGGTACGTGCGGCGTGACTCATCTGCGGGGGAGCTGTGCGGAAAAGTGCTTTGGTGGTTTTATACTGGAAGGTCAAAGGTCAAAGTGTGGGAAGTTGAACTAAATTTACAGACATGCAGTCAAATGTGTCAACCTGTAAATGTTTTAGCTGACGCCTTAAAAAAGAAAACTGGTGCAGTCAGCTGACACCGGCTGTACCTCATCAACATATTTTCAGTTCATCAACATATATTGTTTTTCATCACATATATTGTATCCCTTCAATATACTGTACCTAATCAACATATACATTATCTCACCAACATATATTGTATCCCTTCAATATATGCTGTACCTCATCAACATATACAGTACGTCATCAACATATTTGCAACTCATCAACATATTGTTTTTCATCACATATATTGTATCCCTTCAATATACTGTATACATTATCTCACCAACATATATTGTACCTCAGCAATATATACTGCACCTCATCAACATATACTGCATCTCATCAACATATTTTCAGTTCATCAACATATATTGTATCCCTTCAATATATACTGTACCTCACTCAACCCAATTTAGTTTTTTTTTCATCACATTTACTATTTTTCGGTGTCACATATTCAAAGGTTTTTTTTTAACCAATCTCAGTTTAGTAATGTAAAATATGTCTCCATGTTATGTAGGTTGACAACAATGTGACGCGTCATCGGTGTCACATATTCAAAGGTTTTTTTTTAACCAATCTCAGTTTAGTAATGTAAAATATGTCTCCATGTTATGTAGGTTGACAACAATGTGTTGATCCATTTGGACAGCACCCTAAAAAGGGACGACTGGGACATGTTGATCCTTCACTACCTGGGCCTGGACCACATCGGTCACATCAGTGGACCTCACAGCTCACTCATCCAACCAAAGCTGCTGGAGATGGACGACATTTTGAAGAAGATCCACTCTGCCCTTATTTCAAAGGTAATTTTTATACACTATCTTTAATGATCAGAAAATCAAAATATTGCATTGGACTATGAACTATATGGCCTCATTAGCACTAATTAGCTAAAGAAACACAGGGTTTCTCAGCATTAACCAATTAAAACCATAAACGTTTTGTAAATGTAGGTATAAAATCCCCTCACTGTTTACACTCTACATCATTACCACAAAAGTCAGAGCAGAGATTTCAAGTGTGCTCAGTGAAATGGAGAAAAGAAACGGTAAAACACATAACACTCACAGTCAGGGACATTTTCTCAGTAAACAATTCATCCCCTGCAGTCAGCAGAAGATGCAGTATGTCATCACTGTTGTTAATTTCCTCATAAAAAGAAAATATTTTTCAGAAGTAATCATAAAAAAAAAACCCCGTCATCTCACCCACGCAGGAATCGCGACCGTCTCTGTCTTTCAGCGCTGTCTGCTAATCTCTGCTTGAATTTCACTCTTTAATTATAAATTAAGATCCTGCTCCTCTGAGACTATTGTAATATGCAGCAGAAGTTGGCTTTTGTTTTGATAACATCTGCAGGCCTCTTTCTAAACCTGGCCCCGCAGCCATGACTCATCAGGCTTCCCCATCGAACTCATCCTCAATGAAAGGTTTTCATGGCTTTTGTGGAAACTGAATCACCTGAGGAAAAAAAAAATTGAAGCTTGATTAAAATATGTCATTCTCAACAAACCTGCCTCCCATTCTCTCTGTTCTGTTTTCTCTCTCTGAAGTGTTTTTTTTCTCCCTACTCAACCGGTGAAATTAAACTGGAACAGGAAGTGCTTTTCATTAAAAGCTAACATTTAATGCCTTCCTCCGCATTGCCATGACATAACATCATTCAGCACGGCTGCTTTGTACAAATCACTTACACACACACACATATACAGTAAATATATATGTATATTTATATATGTATATATTGTCTATGTTGTGTATGTATATACGTTTTATACATATATTTACATATGTATACATATATTCATATATATAAATATATACTTATATATAACTTTATATATTTATATATATACTTATATATATTTATATATGTGTATGAAAATGATTTGTACATATTCCTCTCAGTGTAGAATATAAAATGATGCATGTAGAACAGTAAGCACCGTCGAGTGAGTCTCATTTTCAAAAGAGGAACACAATGTTAACGTTATTCATCTGTTTTCGTTGTTGTTGTTGATGATGCAGCAGACAGAGGGAGCTTTGCCTTATCTGCTGGTGCTGTGTGGGGACCATGGCATGTCTGAGACCGGCAGTCATGGAGGTTCTTCAGAGCCGGAGGTCAACACACCCTTGGTGCTCATCAGTCCAGCCTTCAGGAGAAAAGGTACAATTTCATGTTGTCGTTGAAATAATAATGGAAAAAGAAATTGGTGGTGAAAGGGAGGGGGCGTGAGAGACAGAGGGGCGAGGTGAGAATGAGAGGGGGGATGGAGGGAGCAAGGGTGAGAGAGTGAGAGTAAACTCTCTTCTCTTTTTCCTGCTGTTAAACAGCGGTCATGACATCACATGACATCATGTGTCTCCATGATCCTGTCGTCTCAGTTCAGTAGGACGAGGGTAATACTGGGCATCACTGACCACGCCGTTACCAAAATGAAGCCGACTTCAGCACGTTGACTATAACAACCTCAACTTGTTTGTTGATAAACAGAATCCAGTGTGAAAAAATTCACACCAGGCTTACGTCATTCACACTAAGTATTATTCAGAATTTTTTACTCTGTAATGTTTGTTTATGAAATATGACAAAACAAACTTGTATCGTTGATGACATCACATGACTTTATTCAATTCACAATTAACACGTTTTTTACCCAAGCACATGGTGGCGAAGCATTTGTGTCACCTCCAGAGATCCAGTAGCCGCGGCGGAGTAGAACTTTATTTCTCAGCAACAACTGAACGTGTTACTGCGATAATTGCTTTTCTCAGCCGAGTCTATTTTTGAAGTTTTGTCTTGCGTAGATATTTGTAGATCATTCACGTTAAAAATCCGGGGTCCTGCTGGCTCTCTGATTCTCCCGTGGTGATGACGTCATGTTTTTCTCTTCATTCATTAATTCTAGATGTCGGAGATTTAGAGATCACAAACTAATGCGACCACAGATAGGTGTATTTAAACTTTTTTTTATCCGTTTTCTGTTCAGATTTGATTTTAAGTTTTGGTATGACTCACAGAGGCAGAGTGGTTAATGCTGCTGCCTTACGCCAAAAAGGTCAGGGTCTGTCTGGATGTTTAGAGTTCTGTTTTCATTTCTCTCCCTGTGTGTCCAGTTTCCTCTCAGAGTCTAAAAAAAAAAACATACAGGCTTTCTTCCATCGTTCACACCAAATTGGCCAAAGGTGTGAATGTGAATGTGAATGGTTGTTCAAAGCCCAGGTTTGTGGTGTATAGCACAGAAAACCATGAATGAGTGTTCCAAGGTGAAACTGTAGGGTGGTCTCCAGGTTCTTTCTTGTAGATGTTGACGTTATGAACACTAAGAGAAAAAAAAAGACTTGGAGACCCCTGTGGTCACAGAGGGAAGTGCGTCTGTTCCATCAGACAAGGTAAAAAGCACCAGACAGCATCTTTGAGTGGGAGATTAAATCCCCAGCTTGTGGTCGTCTGATTGTAGCTCTACAACAACTGTAATCCCACTGGCTGTGGACCTCTGATCACCAGGGTCAAAACAGTAAAGAAAAAAAAAGACCTTCACGTCTTTGGAGTTTCACCCTGTCGTCACCTCATCTCAACCGTTTTTCAAATCCAACAAACAGAAGATGATGTTGACCTATTTTCTAAAATATAGACCTACAAAGATGACTGTTGTAGGCCAGGACAGGCGAAGGTTTGATTTCCTCTGTAAATGTTTTTTTTTTATGAAGGTTTGAGTTCCTCTGTAAATGTTTTTTTTTTTTAATTGTGGCTTCATTGAACGCTACGTTGCCAGTGTTGCATATTAATAGGAATAAAAGAAATAAAATAAAAAGCTCCGTTCTATCAGGCCTGAATTTAAATCAGCTTTAGACACGGAGTCCAGATAATTGGAGACATTTTCATCATGAAGAGAATCCGGTGAAAACCATTGAGCGTTGGTGACCCACAGGCAGAGTGGAGCAAGAAGTGAATCTTTTTGATTAGTGAGTGTTCACTGTGGATTTAGTTTGAAACTTCATGACTGTTATGTCAAAGTCAAGGTCCGCGGGCCTAATCTGGCTCACCAGGTCATTTTATGTGGACCACCAGAGTTGAACGTGTGTATGGTTGTCTTAATATCTAAGCCTATAGTAAAGAGCCTAACCCCATATTAAAAAAAACAAACAACTTCTGCCAAACACCTGTTTGATTACCCTAGTACACAAGTTGACGAAAACTCTTGCAAACATGACCTACAAAAAAACCCAAAAACATCTACCTCTTCTTCTTGTTATTTAAAAAAAAAACCAAAAAAAAAATACATCTACCTCTTCTTCTAAAAAATAAAAGATTGGTGTAAATATTTATTGTGGCCATAAAACTCAGATTTTCTTTTGATTAAATGTTAATGGTGTGTGCTGACCAGGGAATGCCTGTATGGAAAGCATCACTTCATGCAACCCCCCGGTCTCATTAGCACGGTGTTACTGCTTCGTTTTTCAACATCGGCAGGATGTCTGTGGACTTCATTAGAGCATGCTACCTGAACATTAATTTCAGATCTGAATGCATCGCCGGGAAGACGTCGCTGTCAATGCAGATTAATACGATACTTAGTGGACAGCGCTGAAGACGTGGCAGTAATGACGAGATGAAGGCACGCCAGGGTCCGAGGCTGCTCACCTCATTTGCTGACGCTCAAGTGTATTTTCCTGTTTTGCTGAAGAGACGACTGAAGAGAATAAGAAAAAAATCTTACAAATGAAAACACAAATAATATAATATAAAATATTGACAACCAACCTGCTGTAGCTCGTACGTAATAACGTTTTTTTCTTTGTTTTTTTTACTTCTGATTGTCGCACGCATGAGAATTGAATTCAAACGTCGCCCTGATGCCACAAAGATAAAGATTTTTACGTAGCAGAGTTTGGCATTTTGATGAGGTGCAGTTTTCTCACCGGTGACTCAGCGTGTATTGTGTTTAACCTTTCACTGAGTGATGATACATCAGTTCTGCGCTCTGTTGTATAACTAGTCACAGCCCATGAGTGCAGTACTGGCGTACAGCTGCTCCACGGCCTCATTGTGTGAAGGAAATCACACAATACAAAATGTTAATAGTTTTCTTTTTGTCAGAATCCTCAGGAACCGGTGATGAGTTCACCTTACTGCAGAGATGTTTTTCATCCCGATGTGTGGTTGGACATCTCAAAATCATCGCAAATGATGTCATTACTGTAAAGATTGGTCTGCAGCAATATTTTATCTCCACAAAAAAATTAGTATAATACTTGACATTTTACTTTCACCATTACAGACAGCAGTACTGTTATTTAAAAAAATGTAATTTTTCTCCCAACTCTAATATGTTACATTTTAAAAAAAAGTAATTTTTCTCCCAACTCTAATATGTTTTTTCTTGAACAATTGTAAATCCATTCAGAAAAACCCATAATTAAGTAAAACTTTTACTATTCTTTCCCAAAGACTGGGTCACAACCCCAAGATGGGTCACAAGAAGATTTTTTTTTTTTGGGTCATCTCGCATCATGTTTCCCAGGAGTTTACTAATAATGTCTATTGACTTGCGTCACTGCCCTGACCCATTGGCTAATGAAACACGGAAACAGGATTTATAGTTTTGTTTGTTTGTTTTTCCTCTTCAAATGTAACTTCACTGTCACTGCAGGATTCTTCAGACAGACCTCATCAAGTCCACCAGTACGTAGACTGTGCTTGATTGCTGGCTCCACTCTAACAGCTGGTGGAATCACTTATATCTCTGGTCCTGTGTTGTGTTGTAAACAAAAGTCTTTTACAAAAAAGAAAATGTCAGGGCTCACAATGACTCCACAGAACTTAACAGAATGATTCTGTTCTTTTTTTTTAATTCTGTTCTCGCCCTGTCGTTTCAGAGGGAACCCTGAAGCCGGATGTAGTGGAGCAGATTGACCTCACCCCGACCCTGGCACTGGGTCTCGGCTTACCGATTTCTCAAAACAGTGTGGGCCGCATCATCCCTGGCGTCTTTGAGGAAACATCGCTCCGGGACAAACTGCGCTTCCTGCATCTCAATGGCCACCAGCTCAGCTGCCTGCTCAAAGACAGCCTGCCCAGCTATGAAAAAGGTGGGTTTTCAAATCCACTCCGCTTTCTCTCTGCATCTGTAAAGAGACCAGAGCTGCTTTGAAAGAAAGCTTTTAGTATAATGCAGTTCATTGTGGATATTAACAGTCACTGTGTCCAGATTGAAAAATGCACTCAACAGCAGCTGATATTAATAGTATGAAAAGTGTGCAAATTAGAATCAAGGTCAAATGTGTAATATTTCTTTTTCACCACGTGTTATTAGTGTTATTGTCTTATTATCAGGTCACTTTTGGTCCAACACTGTTGTGATTTATTGGGAAATAGATGATAAAGCACAGCAGGTGACGGAGGATGTGATTGTGAGGTGACCCCAGTTAGAGCCCGGTGGACGGAGATGACGGTAAACTCTGTTTGACAAAGCTTAAAAATGGACAGACGTCGGCTCTTGCCGATCCCAGGGGCTTGAAACGGGAGTGGGTTTTACAACTTGAAAGCTTTTCCCATTCTTATACACGCCCGTGAGTTTCATCGATCTCTGGTTTACGGTTACTGTTGACGGTGGCCAAAGCTTCAGTGAGGATTCTGTAAGTGCTGCCTCTCTGTGATGATCAGCATTACCTTGAATCAGCTCTGCTCTCAGTCTTGTT